ACATTACCTGGGGTTGAGTCACTCGGGAGTGTGCCGGGGCAGAGACCTTCTCCTCTGAGTCACCGGAAACTGCTGCCTGGGGGATGCTGGGCTGTGTCTGCACCACCCAAGGTTAAACTGGAGGGGAAGGTTTACCAGGAAGATGTGGCACAATCCCTCCTCAGCCCAGGGAAGGTGCTCTGTCCTGTTCTTGGCCCAGCTGCCAAACAGGGCTCTTGTCCCCAGCTGAGGTTGAGCACCAGGAGCRCCTAGGGTGACTGAAGCAGCTCCTCAGACCCTGAAGGATGGATGAGGGCTGAGGATGCACACAGCTCTCCACTGGGCTGGCAAGAGCCAGGAAGATATTGCCTGGCTTTTTTTTTCCTGGTGCGTGCTCCAACCTGTCTGGATTTACCTAGGCAAGCAGCTCATTTGGTGAGCGGAAGGGCAATGCTGTGAGCACCAGCCTGGAGATCTCAGCAAAGAGCTCCTGGACCCTTCAGAGGTGGAAAAGAGGATGAGAGTAGAGATTCCAATGCAGAGGACCAAACCTTCATCCTTGCACAACTGCAGAAAGCCCTTCTGCCTCCCCTATTRCTATGGTCCCTCAGAGTGAACCACAAATCACTTCTGCACAGCCATGGGTTGTTCTCTTCCTATCTGAGGACTGTGTGCAAATGGCTCCATCACTATCCGCCCATCCTTCCCCCTGGGGTCTCCGTGGGCAGTGCCAACAGCAGCCAGCCTCCAGAGCTGTTCATCCCACCTGGGGATGCTTCCCGCTGTGGCTGTGTGAGAGAGAAGCTCAAATGTGGAGTCTGGAGTGTGGCAYRKCATGTGCSKCMYRATCCTCTCCCATCTGCCAGTCCTGCCCCACATCCCCTGCCAGTCCCTACACCCGTGACACTCCATGACAGCCATCTGTCAGTCCTGCCCCACATCCCCTGCCAGTCCCTACACCCGTGACACTCCATGACAGCCATCTGTCWGTCCTGCCCCACATCCCCTGCCAGTCCCTACACCCGTGACACTCCATGACAGCCATCTGTCWGTCCTGCCCCACATCCCCTGCCAGTCCCTACACCCGTGACACTCCATGACAGCCATCTGTCAGTCCTGCCCCACATCCCCTGCCAGTCCCTACACCCGTGACACTCCATGACAGCCATCTGTCATGGTGAGCACGGTGACTCGCAGGCAGACTGGCATCATGGCTACCGCTGAGGTACCAGGATCAGTCTCTACAGTGCAGGCATCAAACCTGGGTCCCAACAAGCATCAGATATGGAATGTATAAACAGTTGGGGYTGGAGCAGCACCAGCTGCAGCATGAGCTGCAAAGCCTGGCTTTGGCGGTGTGAATGTAGAAATCTGYGACTGCTCCTCCAAACCTGAAGTGAACCACTGTGAACAGAGGGATGTCGACAACATCTCATCACGAGTGCAGAAAAAAATATGAGCACCCGTGCCAAGCCATGCAGGTGGTAAGGAGCTCATTTGRTCTCCTTCTGGAGGCCCCTTAAGGCTCCCCAGGCACACAGGAGGGCTCTCACCACAGAYGTGTTCCCTTCACCTGCTGCCTGGGTTGCTGCTGGGGCGGTTTGGCCAAGGGAAGGCCAATAGCCAGGGGAAGCTCAGATCTGAGGGCTTTTGATGCCCCTCCAAGCTCTGATGAAGCTTGAGGTGAGAAGGTGATGCCTTAGGGGTACAGGTCAAAAAATAGGGCTACACTGGGCCAATCTGAAAGAGAAACAGGCCCAGCAAATGGTGAAGAGTAGCTGGGTCCTACATGGGCATGGATCACAGACCTCTGTCAAATCCAAGCATGGCTCTGGCACAGCTGACTTTCCAAGGAGGGAGTGATGTGAGGGATGTGCGAGGACTGTRTGGAAAGGAAGAACCTCTGCCATYCTTCCAGTATGGCAGTATTTCAAAWAARCCAAAGACTACTAYTAAGCTAGATCCCTCCTTGGTCCCCTCTCTGGAGACACTGAGCGTGTGTTTTCCAGGCCTGAGGATTTAACAAGCGCCATCTCCAACAGATGTTGCTGAACATCCTCCTTGGTTACCAACAGAGGGTGGAAGTGCTTTCAATCTCAAGTGCCATTAGCCCTGCTTCCTCCCAAATGCTGGACAGGCGGATTGATTGAGAATCTCTGTCTTTCCTGCAGTTTAATAAGAGACTCATAATCTCCATCTGCCAGGAGTGATGTCTGCTGCTAGACCTCAAAAACTGATGATCACTCTGTTCCTTGCAGATGCTTTTTTTGCTGATGCCTTTTGCATCTTGCAATCCCTATGCTTAGAAATTTCCAGCGCTGATTTTTGGGTTCCATGGCTATCTTTTGTGTATGGAGGAAGCTTCCTTGGTATCTGATTGGACTTGGGGGATCTGGTTGGGTTTCTCAAGCACGAGTGTGCACAATGAATCAGCAAACCTGGGACTCAGCAGGCTCCCTGGGCACATTTTGGGCATGTACCATGCCAGGCTGGCACAGGAGGCTCAGTTCCTTGGCAGCCCCATCCTCACCCTCCTCCAACACAGGGCTGGTAGGAACCATGAGAAACTTCTCTCTCCAGCCAGGCATCCTGATAGCCACATCCCAGCATCTGGCCCCACMCTGCAGAGGACTATGGCTCATGGTGTGAGGATATACCAGAACACACTGTGGCATCTGTCYCTGCTCACTTGATGCCTCTGCACAGTTTTACCTCTGTGGGGGTCCTGCTCTTGGAGTATCCTGTCTATGGCCCTTTTCTTTGTGGCCTTCATGGGATTAAGCCTGTGAGCCTGGAAGCAAATTTGGGTGAAGGTGTGTTTTTAGGAAGGGATGTGAATGATTTGGGGGCATAGGTCTGGAGACAGAGGTGTTGGGGCATTGGAGACCATAGGGACACAGTCTTTGTGATGGGTGAGCCAGCGGGGTGGTGGCCGGTCATGGCTGTGTGTCCCGGAGGAGCAGTCAGAATGTATGTTGGTGTGCTCTTTGCTGCTGCAGCGGCCTCGGGCAGCGCTGCCATGCTCCAACACACTGCTCCCAGTTCCACATTCCCTCTGCATCCCAGGGTATGTTCTCCAGCCTGTGTGCTGGGGATCAGCCCTGCACACTTGCCCCAATGTTTCTGCACATCCAGCTTGAACTCAGCTTTCTTCCCAAGCACTTCCCTGCCTTGTCCCCTCTCATCCCCTCCCGCAGTGTTTCTTGTGGGGGCTCACAGCGCCAGCCTTGTATTTCAGTATTTCCCTGGAGCGAACTGCTGCGGGAGTTCTGCACGGGGCTGCTCCCACCAAACAGCTCTCAGGAAGGGGGTTTGTACCGAGGACTCRGACTCGRTGACCCTSGTGGGCTCCCTYCCAGCTCAGGACATTCTGTGATCCCATGAGGGATCGTCCCTGCCTCCCCAGTGGCCCTCCCCCTGATTCCAGAGGACACTCCGGGGCAGTTGGGGGGAGCACCAGGACCGGATCGGGCCCAAGGCCGCGGGGAGCGAGCCGAAAGCCCTCAGCCGCCCGAACGCGGGTGGCGGCCCGGAGCGGCGGGGAGGGCCGGGCTGGGCGCGGCGGAAGGCGGCGGCGAGCGGGGCGGGCCCCGGGGGAGGCGGGC